GTCCACTGTTCCAGCTAGGAAGCGGTCCTTGGTGGAGCTATCTACTAAACAGCACCCTAATTTGTTTTCTTAAGAAGGGCAATGCCATAATAGGGCATTTTGCTATTTAAGAAGTTATCTACTAAATAGCACCCCATGTTAGTCTTAAACAGGGCAATCATACATAAGGCTAACAAATCAGAAAGCTATCAAATTTATAGTGCCCTAATCTGGTATCCTAAGTAACGTAACCTCACATAAAACTACTAAGTTAGGGAGCTGTCTACTAAACATTTATTTACACACACATTTATAGAGCATTATTTCTCTAATAAATGCACACATACATTCTCTTTCTTAAGGAATAAGCTTGAATAAACCAAAAATGTCAATTTGTCAAAAATTAATCTGCTATCCTTAAATAGGGCAATCCAACATAAGGATACCAAATAAATGGAGCTATCTACTAAACAGAGCCCTAATTTGGCATCCTAAGTAGGGCAATCTCACAGAAGGGTGCAAAATTAGGGGAACATTTGGCACCATTAATTTGGTATTCTAAATATAGCAATCCCACATAAGGGTATGAAATTAGGGGAGCCATCTACTAAACTTTGCCCTAATTTGCTATCCTAAATAGGGCAATCCCACGTAAGAATACTAAATTAGGGTGATATCTATCTAACATCACCTTAATTTGATTTCCTAAATATTACTTTGCAAGCCCTCCCTTTCTTCCCAAATCTAGACTTTTTGTAGCTGTCCAATCACAGATGTTCCAATGACGCTTTATGAGAAATCTTTGCAAGGCAGGTGCTCTGGGCACTTACCCTTCTCTTGAGTTTATATCCAGGGAATTTATTGTAAATCTTAATTTATAAAAGTGCCAATTTCTTTTGAAAATTAAACTTTTTGTAAAAAGAAAAAAAAAAAAGGGCACACTCTTTACATAGTAAAGTACCACAGCAAGCAAAGTGCTTTAAGTGTGTGGATGGTTCCTTTATATTTTAAACCAATAAATTGATGTGCCCTTGCTACTAAAGTTCCTCTTAGTGGTTATGGTTTAATGAGTCTTTGGTGGGCCACCTTCCAGTTTTCTGTTGGATTGTTTTTGAGTAGTTTGGCAAAAATAAAGTTCTCTTTTCAATTTGTTCATATAACATCTGTCTAAAGCCATCTAACCTTGGACAGCAATGCCAAACTGCAAGTACTTGGCTAACCTGCCTATTGTGCATATCACTGATACAAAGAAACAGATAAAGCTTTATGAATCAATTTGTGACATTATTGGACTTACTGAAATGATGGGGATTATGTTTAAAAAATGTTGTGTCCTGAAAAGCGGTAAAAATATGTGAAAGTGAGTAGTCAGCAATGGAATTTTTCTACTGGTTCCACTTATTTCCATGGTAATTGCTCAACTCTTAGTACTTTAGACCGCTTTTCAGAACATGACACCTTTTGTATATAACCCCCAATATTTACTTTGCATTTACATTAGAGGTTGATGGTTATAAGTAATATCCTTCTTGTGAGCTGTAGATGACACTATAAAAGTAATTTTAGATTTATGTAGGATATGTCAATAAATCTTATCCAGGATGCTCAAACTTACTGCATAAAGGGTTTCTATAGTGGAAGGAATACAAAGTTGTATTCCTAACACTATAGTGCCCTCTCTCCCAAACCTCGTGGTCCGCCTCCCCCGGCATAAAAAGGGTTAAAACTCCTTATTTACTCACCTGATTCCAGCACCAATGTCTCTCAGCTCTGAGTTGTGCTCCGCCTCATCCAACGTCATGTGACTGCGACCTAATGCACATAAGTGGCGAGCACTGCAAGCTCATTAGACCCTTGCTATAGGAAAGCATTGAATCAATGCTTTCCTTAGGGGATTTTACAGACACTGAATGTGCTCATGCAGACCGTGAGGATGTATAGCATAATTTAGGGGAACCAGAGTCCCGTAAACTCCGGGAAGCGCCTCTTGTGGCTGTCTCATGGACAGTCACTAGAGGCTGTTTTATTACTGCAATGTAAATATTGCATACTTCCAAGCTTTGGCATCTTGTAAATCTTGATGCCAGTGGAAGTGGGGAAAAGGCACGGACCTGAGTTTCCCACCAACTCTGTGGGATCAGAGCCTAGAAAGTAGAGTCTGCTAAACGGAGGTCAACAAGAAGGAATTAAGTCAGGATCTAAAAAAGGATCTGCTCTCAGTGCTATTAGAGTAACATTTTCTTCTACATATTGCACATTTTATGTATATTTATTAAAACAGTGTAAATTAGTATCATAGCCTAAGATCCATAGGCCATCCAAAGTGTTCAATGAATTTGTCTACAATTTTTGCCCATGCAGTTTCTATTGATTTAGAGAGGTCCATTTGGCTATTTGTATGGTAATATCTGCAGGATAATATTTTTTTAAACTTTACCAAACTTATATATTATCATGCTCATATGGACTATTTACCAATGGAAATCGTCCCCAGGTCACCAACACTATGCCAATAAAATATTTCATAATCGATCATAGTTAACAATATAAAATAAAATAGAATTGTTTTACTGCACAATAACATGAAGCCCACACATTCGCATCATATAATATTCTGAACATATCACATTATAAATTCAATTGGGTTGCTAATATAATAGATGTTTTAATATAATGTTAAATTAATAAATTGTGCTGGTTAAATATCAAATAAGTGATTCACACAATGTAATTAATTATACATCAGTTGATGTGGTTTATTATATGTGTCTATATTTTATTGAGATAATTGATGATGCCATTTAGTCAAATGGAAACCATACTACCAGTGGAAGTAAATGCCCTTCAGTAACACAGCAATACCTGTCTATATATCATCTAGTCTACATCATACAAAATGTAAGCAAGTCATGGAAATGAAGGTTAAATGTAATTTCTTGTTATAAATACAACCAAGTTAAGCTTTATTTCTGAAATGAAACCAAGTGAAATGAAAACCTATCAGGATTTGCATTTCGATTTTTTGATCTCCATGCAAAAGGTTTTTATCAGATGCCATGGTCTATTGTGCAATGTAATAGTCTTTGGTCTCCATTGTTCTCATCTGATCTCAGCTGCCTACAGCTTATGACTTATTTAGTGGAAGAGAAACATATATTGAGACAATGAATAAAATGCAGTTGTGAATTGTTAGGATTCACTGCAAGAAATAGAGATACTGGTTCTGTGAGAGCCAGGGTTGGATTTACATTTCATATGCCTATAGTAACCAAATCCTATAGTATCCCCTGTTCCTCTGGTTAAATTTAATAAATCAAATTGGATTTTTTTTTTACTCTCTGCATCACACTTTATGTGTATACAGTAATTGGCATTAAGCTTACTTTGCACATGACTAATGATTCAAGGATGACTAGTTTTCTGAACACCAACTGGGTTATGATGGACCAACATCAAAGGTAAATTACAGATGAGCTAAACTATAGTCCCTTTTCAAAAACTTAGACTATAGTGGAGGCTGAGCAATGATTAGTGAGAAACAAGTCTGTCACTGAATGTAATAGACTCCAATTTGCCTGTAGAGATTCCCATCTACCCATAAGCAAGGGTATGAGGAGTTATAAAAAGAAAAAAAGGAAATATAAGAGAGTAAGATACCATGTGCATATGTGTCTAGAGCAAATGCAAAGGTTACTAGAAATGAGGTTATGAAATTTAAAATTAGAAGAATTCAGTAAGTAGTGTAAAGGTTAATAGTTTTAGGAGTAGGGTTCGGTGGATTATGTTTATGGGGTTAACTTTATGAGAGTAATGGTGAGAAGCTCAGGCCTGCCAACAGTCCTCACCTGCCATCTCAAGTTTTTTCTTTTCTTGTGCCCACATCTAGGATCACCAGGGAATTGTCTTCAGACAGCACAACGTGATTATATAAGATGTGTTTATGCTGTGAATGGGTGCTAGGACCATGCAGTGCCTCCTCCTGCATGGTCCTGTGGGTTGTCAGTCAGCTAAGTGTGCTTTTCTAGGTGAACCCATCCATTATGAGCATCGCCAATGCTGTGAGTTGGGTCATTGGAGATGGCATTTCACTCCTCGCCCAAACGTCCTAATCTGCATACCTCCCAAAGATGGGAGGCATTAGAACTCCTGATCATTGCCTCTTTATTATGACTGTAATCACTTGGTCAATACTAGAGTTAGAAATAAATTATAATGAGCTATTTGCTAGAATCTACTCATGGGTTTCAATGTGGAGTGTACTTTACAGTGGATGTAAGCGTGAATGTGTTACGTAGCTTAGGAAATGTCTATGTGTGGCTCAACGGTGATGGTCTAAGTATACAGACCTGAAACTCCAGTAGTCACAACACTCCTGGTTCCCAAACAACTGCTCAAGGGACTACAATAGTCCAGATTTTGTCAGTATCTTCATGGAAACCGAATTATAATATCGCTAATTCCTAGATTGTTGGGGTGTCCTGAGGACTGGCTTAAGAACCACTGCTCTCAGGAATATACAATATGCATGTTTATTTCTGGAGAAATAACAAATGGCTACCCTGTAAAAAAACATTACCAATTGAACCTCTGTGTTAAAAGTGGTGGGTTTATGTGGACATAAGGCCCCAGGAGCCATATCAAATTAATCAATGCATTGAGAGGATGATGGAGTAATTTGTTGAATATATCTGTGTTTATTTTCCTCCTTAGAGATCTTGGCTTTCATAAGCCACTTACCCTTTTTTTTCCCCCCCCCAAACTATTCAGATTGTCCATATATTGTATTCATTGATTTACTTGAGGTGTGCAAATGATATCCTTAAGAACGACGGTTCCTTTTTCTAGGATGGATTGCGGTCTGATAAACACTGGATTTCAGCACAAGCTTTCCATACCTCCCTAGTATACCTATTTAAGATGGAAAGTCAATATCTTTGGCCCAAATCCTTATAGCTCTCTTTTTCTATCTTTTTTTTCTAGCAGCTCCATATTGCTGGTGTGTTTGATTGCAGGGCCGGCCCAAGACATTGTGCTGCCTGGGTCCACCGATGAAATGCTGCCCCTCGCCCCAACCCCCCCAAAACCATGTGCACATCCGTTATGTTATGCAGTGTGTGGTGAATGCTGTGTTTGTGTAAAGGATGCATTGTGTGCATGTAGTGGATACAGTGTCTGTGTTTAGTGGATGCAGTATCTGTTTGTAGTGGATGCAGTGTGTTTAGAGGAGTTGGATAGCAGTGGTTGTGAGCAGTGTTTTCCAAAATGTATAATTAGAGTTATGCCCGCCTCCCTGCCCTTTAGGGAGGGGGAACACTAAATCCAGCATGTTTGTCCTGTGAAGAGGGGGCCCAGAAGTCTAATCTTTCTCTATTCTAAACCAACGGCTATGGTCTGTGTCAATAGAACAAACAGTACTAGACAGGGCTGCCCTTATCACTCTTGTTGTCATTATTGAGCCTGGAGCCTTTCATTAATACGCTCAGGAACAATACTTACTTGCTCTCCTTTTGTGAGTATACCTCTTTTTATTTATTCACCACTTTTAACACAATTGTTTTTTTTACACATATTATTGGAGCATCACCAATTGGTATATCAGAATACATCATATGTGAGCACCGCCACCACCACTGCTGACCATACACCATCTACTACTAGCTGAAAAAACTCTTCTATATACAGGACCAAGCACCATCGACATATCCACAGATGGTGATTGTACCGTCCATGCGCAGTGATCTGGAGCTGATCTACTAGCTCCAGAAAAATGTAAGTGCAATTTCTTCTATTCACCTCTCTGATATTTGACATACTACTTATATTGACATATTTGGGCTTTGTCCCTTTTTATTTTTCATAATACTACATTTGGAACTGAGGATTCCAGTTGAAAGCGCTGCTTCCCGGCATCTCTTTACTCATCTCTACCTACGACCAGAAGGAAGACACTCTGGTTCGGGAAGTTCGAGCAGCTGCAGATACAAAAAGCAATGCCAGAAATCTCATTTCCTGTTTATATGACTTTCCCTTCCACTATTGTGATGAGGCAAATGCATGCTTTGAACTTATCTTGCAGTGGGACTTTCATGCTTGGTCTCTTCCTGATATTACTTGGTTAGGAAGAATCAGTGTACTGAAAATGAACATTCTGCCAGCACTTCTTTAACTTGCTTCAAACATTGTCGGTGCATATTCCAGGCCAATTTGTCCATCAACTAAAAACAATATTGTTTGAGTATGTTTGGCAGCACCACAGGATGCAATTAATGTATGACCTCCTTATACGCCCAAAGCTACATAATGGTCATGGTATGTTTGATCTCACCAGATACTATAAAACAGTATATCTTTAGAAGGTTCTAGAGTTAAGTCACTGGGGAGAAAACGACCAAAGGGAGCACAGGCCACATTCCATCTGTGTGCCACTATCCATCAAGTGCCACCTTCCAATAAGTGCCCTGAATCCTAGTAGTTTACCAAGGGAGATCACCAAGGAGGACACGAGGAAGAAAACAGCAGACAATGCTTCAATCAACATTTTTATTATCATCCACACGCTGTTGTGCTTACTGCATTAATGTTTGTGTTCTGTACCTAGCCATATGTGTAGTGTAAGTACTACTTCCTCAACATATATGCATTATTTGTAACTTATTTCAGTTTTGTATTCATCTCCTCCCCTCCTGTACATGGCTCCAAATTTGACCATGTTAATATTCTTTGTAACCCTCTTCACACTTCGGTCATGTTCCTACCACCACCCTCTTAAGCACCACTCACCACAAACCGAGAACCAAATTCTTATACATCATGGCCTGCTTTATTGCTGTAATTTATCTGCAGAGTGCTGGTGGAGAGTGTTGAAATCAAGCCCTTCCACCCCACAAAAGTATAAAACCCTACAATTGCAATACTACCAAAGTAAGATTATGTCCAAATTCCTATTACTCATGTTACTTGCCCTTGCAAATGATGTAGAGTCTAACCTTGGTCCCCCAACAGATTCCATTCCTAGCCTAGCCTTCCAGCTAAAAAAGGCCTCTCCTTTGTGAACTGTAATATCCGCAGCTTACTACCAAAAATTGATGCACTACAAGCATGGTGTTCACATTTCAAGAACAAAATCATTGTGCTCTCTGAATCGTGGCTAACTGCAAAAATACCTGACTCTGCAATTGCAATACATGGGTACTCATGCCATAGAAATGACAGAGAAAAAAAGAGGAGGCGGCATTGTAATTTATGTTGACAATTACATAAAGTTCACCCCTTTACAAAACTTTAGCTCTCCTGCCACCTTTGATTTCCTTTCTGGCACAACTGAGATCCCGTGCAGTAAATCAATCATTGTTGCAGGAATCTACCACCCACCTAGCTCCCCAGTGCATTCCCTATCTGCCATAGCCCATCTCCTTAGTGGAAACCATAGCCCAAAACCCCAAAAGTGAACAGTTGGCCTTTCGAGATTTTAATATGGATTGGCTGAATCCTAAAAATAATAGTTCTTGCTCGCTGTTTAAGACTTTGTAGCTAACACAATTAATTTACTCCCCAACTCGCATAAACATTAAAAGACATAACCATACCCTGCTCAATTGGATTCTCTCCACTTCTACTCATATAATCCAGGACGCAGGTGTTCTCCCTAACAGTTTCAGTGACCACAGCTTAGTGTATTGCGTGCGCAAAATAAAGGCTTCTAAATCCTCTCCCAAGGTTAAAATCACCAGGTCCTTAAAAAAATGTAATCTTGAATCCTTTCTAAATGACATCAAGAACCTCCCATGGCACATATTATACCTTATCTCAGTTCTAGCCTGTGCAGTGGAATTCTTTCAGTCTCCTGCAAGTTTGGAATTTGCATGCCCCGCCGCGTAAGGTGATAGTAAAAGGGCCACATATGAATTGGATCACAGCTGATCTCATTCAAATGTACCAGTTTCGAGATTCATTGTGGTCAAAGTTCAAGCATACTGGCTCTATGGACGACCACTGTGCATATAGACAATGGCAAAATAAAAGCCCAAAACAAACAAAATTGGTCAAGGCCCAATCCTCTCCCAAGGTTAAAATCACCAGGTCCTTAAAAAATGTAATATTGAATCCTTTCTAAATGACATCAAGAACCTCCCATGGCACAGATTACACCTTATCCCAGATCTAGACTGTGCAGTGGAATTCTTTCAGTCTAAATTCCTGCAAGTTTGGAATTTGCATGCCCCGCTGTGTAAGGTGAGAGTAAAAGGGCCACATATGGATTGGATCACAGGTGACCTCATTCAAATGTACCAGTTTCAAGATTCATTGTGGTCAAAGTTCAAGCATACTGGCTCTATGGATGATCACTGTGCATATAGACAATGGCAAAATAAATGCAAAAAACAAACAAAATTGGCCAAGGCCCAATATTTCTGTGAAAATCTGAACAATAACATATCAAATCCTAGAAACTTTTGGAAAGTCATAAATAAATTACAAACTCCCCCAATCCACTCCCAACCATCCACTGTCAAAGTGGATAACCAAACCCTGCAACATCCCTTAGATGTAGCAAGTGCCTTTAACAATTATTTTGTCAGATGCTCCATCACCCTGATTGCCAAGCTTATAAATAACACACATCCTGAAACTACAAATGTGGATCAAGCCCCATTAAATTTGCAAAGACCCAATATAAAGAAGTTACATTTTAGGCCTGTACCTATTAGTGTCATTAAATTACACCTTTATAAACTAAAAATAAAAAAACAGTCTGGACCTGATCAAATCCCAGCAATGATGTTGAAGCTCAGTGCGTCAGCAATTGCTAAACCTGTCACAACCCTAATTAACGAATCCTTGGTGTCTAGATACATACCCAAACTTTGGAAGACAGCGAGAGTAGTGCCTATCCATAAAAGTGGTGACACTACTATGTTTTCTAACTATCGCCCAATATCATTACTCCCAGTATTGTCAAAAATCTTAGAAAAATTTGTCCATACGCAACTATGTGAGTATTACCAACAATCTAACTATCTGACCCCTGATGAATCAGATTTTCACCAGAATCATTCCACTACAACTGCCCTCTCAAAAGTTTGCAATGACATCCAAACTGGCATGGAACAAGGAGCCCTAACTGGAGCTATTTTCTTTGTTTTTGCAAAGGCCTTTGACACAGTAGACCATGACATTCTACTGCACAAACTAAAAAACTCAGGTATTGGTGATCATCCACTAACCTGGTTTTGATCATATGTATCGGATTGCTCACAATATGTGTCCATTTCTGACAGCAACTCCCTTCCTCTCCCAGTCAAACTGTCACAATGATCTTTGGAACAGTACCTGAATTACACAATTCCCATCTACCCATCAAAACAAAATCAAATAGCACACTGACCCCAGTCCACTCTTTCAAATACTTGGGATGTTGTTATCTATCTTTTGGCCTCCACATAGAAAAACGTGCATCTAAACTTTATCCAAAACTAGGTGCCCTGTACAGAAACAAATCCTGCCTAAGCCCTACAGTAAAGGAAAAGATTGTACAGCAAATGCTGATGCCAATAATTGATTATTGGGATGTAGTAAATGCACCTGCACCGCAAACCAACTTAATAAACTTCATACATTGTATAACTTGTTCTGCCGCTTTGTGCTACAATGTAATTACATGACCCATGCTAAAAGAACTAAACTGGCTGTCGCTGGAATCCAAATGGAATTCAGAAAGAGTGTGGTCCTAGGGTACTTGTGTTTAATATTCATACTATTCAAATTTTGGGAATAAACTGTTCCTCATCTTTCCAGCCTTGTATTTAAGAGCTTTTCTGGGAAGCTCCCACCCTACCTGAGCAGAATGCTCGCCCTGGCTGTTCCCAACTCCTATAACCTCCGATCCAGTACCAACACTTTATTTATTCTACCTCAATACAAAAAGAAAGCAGCCCGATCCTACTTTTCCCACAGAGCACCTCAATTATGGAACAACATCCCACACACTTTCAAATCTTCCCAAGGCCTAAAATCCTTTAAGAGATCCTTCTCCACATATCTCAAAACAGAATGCACTTGTCATGGTTTATTATATATTTGCTACCTGTTCTATGTTAAATTTTGTATATATCGTGTATTAATATTGTTTTTGTATTTTATTGTACCCTATTGTATCAATGCAATCTTTTGTGGACTCAGGACATATTTGAAAATGAGAGAAATCTAAATGTATCCTTCTTGGTAAAATATTTTATAAATAAATAAATAGAGTGGAACTTAGCCCTTTTTGACCAAGCCCTGGCTGAGGATGTAGAATGGTACCCTATAAGTCTGTTCCCATAGCTCCCTAGAAATGCACAAATTGGCATCCCTAGAGACCATCCCACTATCCCATCCAGTATTTTTGCATGGAGACAGGCAACATGCCAGTTCTACCTCTCTCCACAACTATCTGGCCTTGATTCCGGTTTCTAGAAACTCAGATTTTCCTCTAGCATCTACCAAAAAATAATTCAGCCTCACTCGGCTTTACATATCCTCTGTGCGATGGCACCCTTGTAGCACTGACAGACCTTGACATTCCCAAACCCCCCTCGTGATGCTGAAATTCCACTAGCAACAATTCTGCCACTTTACGTCCAGACTGCTAAATCTGGGATCTACTTCATGCTCGCTCAGTACTTATGAATCTTAATGCTCTCAACTTGACCCGTCACTGCATGCTATATCCATATATATGTTAAAAGGTACGTTTACAAGCCAGTTTGTGAATGGGGAGTCACTGATTGCCACTGATAGTCACTGAAGTAAGAGCATCAGCTGAGTGCTCTCAACCAATCAGTGGTGACCCTGCCATTCGGAAGCTGCCGAGGAGGGGAAGAGGGGGAGGCGATGGGGGAGTGGAGACCAGCGCTGAAGGCAACTTAAGGGTTAAACCGTTCGAGCTAAGTTTAAACCCTTGAGGCATATCACGGTATAAACCATTGAGGCATATTTCTGTGAAAATCTGAACAATAACATATCAAACCCTAGAAACTTTTGGAAAGTCATAAATAAATGACAAACTCCCCCAATCTACTCCCAACCCTCCACTATCATGTCATGGTGCCAGGAGACCTTCTGCAGTCATGTATCCACTGTTTCAGTTTGCTCTTTTCTATATATAAACCCAATCAATAATAATTCTTTATTTCCAGTGCATCTGAAGAAGCAGAGGCAGACAATCCTAATATGAAATAGTTGCATGTCGATTCTTGATTTTGTAGAAAACAATCTAGGCAAGTACAAACAATTATCTAATTATTTGCATACTTATAAGTTAAAGCTGTAAAAGGCAATAGTAAGACACAATTTAGGGAAATAAATATCAGTGAATATCTGTAATAACCTTCCTGCTGAATCATTAGGGAGTAATAATGGATTAATGGCATGAGGTACAAGTAAAGAACTTCTTAGAAGAAACTTTATCCGTGGGTCATGATGTCAGCCCGTTATTGACTCCTTCACGAATCAATAATACAAATGCTAACAGAACAATTTTTTACAGCTTAATCCGGTTTAGATTGCTGGAGGAATGTTGGTAGACAATAGTACAAGGAGGAACATTATAGGTAATTAAATTGTATCTAGACCAGGCGATAGCAAATGAAGAGGACAATATATTTTAATATTTTAGCATATTGCAGCTAAAGTGCATGACATAACTTACATTTAATGGAACACTGCAGTCACGTGAACAACTAAAGCTTAATGTAGTTGTTCTGGTGTGTACAGCAAGTCCCTGCAGGCTTTATAATGTAAACACTGCTTTTCAGAGAAAAGGCAGTGTTTATATTACTGCCTAAGAACACCTCTAGTGGCAGTCACTCAGATGGCCTCGAGAGGTGCTTCCTGGATCAGTGCCCTCTGCATGGAGACGCTAAACGCTCCCCATAGAGATGCTGATTGGCACAGCAATTGCATTTTGCCATGCAATTTTGATTATCTTGGCCTAGGCAGTACGGTGGTGGAACCAGCCACAGGGGACCTGAACTGGAATAAAGGTAAGTGTATTACCTTTTTAAAGTGTTTTTGACACTATAGTTATTATTATTATTATGATATTTATAGAGCGCCGTCAAATTCTGCAGCGCTTTACAATGGGTGGACGAACAGACATGTAGTTGTAACCAGACAAGTTGGACACATAGGAACAGAGGGGTTGAGGGCCCTGCTCAATGAGCTTACATGCTAGAGGGAGTGGGGTAAAATGACACAAAAAGGTAAGGATAGTATTAGACTAATGACAGCTGCAGAAGAGGAATCAGTCAGGAGCTATTAACAGTTTAATGGATACGCTTTTATGAAGAAGTGGGTTTTTAATGATTTTTTGAAGGAGTGGAGACTGGGTGAGCATCTAACGGAGGAGGGAAGCGAGTTCCACAGGAACAGTGCAGCCCTCGAGAAATCTTGAAGGCGAGCATCAGAGGTGGGAGTAAGGACAGAAGATAGACGTAAGTCTTCAGCAGATCGTAAGGGCCTAGACGGGACATACTTGTGTATAAGGGAGGATAGATAGGTGGGAGCAGCATTATGTAGAGATTTGAAAGCAAGAACTAGAATTTTAAATTGAGCTCTATATTTTATAGGAAGCCAATGTAGGGATTGACAGAAGGGTGAGGCATGGGAGGTGCGGGCGGACAGGAAGATAAGCCTCGCTGCCGCATTCATTATGGACTGTAACGGCGCTAGTTGGGAGCACGTAAGACCACTGAGAAGCGGATTACAGTAGCCAAGGCGAGAAAGGACAGTGGAATGGACCAACACCTTAGTCGCATCTGGCGTTAAGTAGGGGCGGATGCGTGCAATGTTTTTGAGATGGAAATGACAGGATTTGGCGATGGATTGAACATGAGGCTTAAAGGAGAGGTCGGAGTCAAAGAGAACACCTAGGCAGCGAGCCTGCGTGGTGGAGCTGATGGTAGCACCGTTGACTTGGAGGGAGACAGACACAGGAGTAACAACACTTGAGGGAGGAAAGACCAGAATTTCAGTTTTGGTCAAGTTTAGCTTAAGGAAGTGGGCAGCCATCCAGTTAGAAACAGCAGAGAGGCAGTCAGAGACACTAGTCAAGAGGGACGGGAGAGATCAGGAGAGGACAGGTAGATTTGCGTGTCATCTGCATAGAAATTATATTGGAAGCCAAAGGAGCTAATGAGTTTACCAAGGGAGGCAGTATAGATGGAGAACAGTAGGGGACCAAGGACTGAACCTTGGGGGACACCAACAGAGAGGAGTTGGGGAGAAGAAGCAGAGCCAGAAAAAGAAACACTGAAAGAGCGCTGGGAGAGGTAGGAGGAGCACCAGGAGAGAGCAGTATCTTGTAGACCGATATTGCGGAGGATGAGAAGAAGCTGTTGATGATCAACAGTGTCAAAAGCCGCAGACAGGTCAAGGAGAATTAGGATAGAGTAGTGACCACGAGATTTTGCACTGAGTAGATCATTGGATACTTTGGTCAGTGCCGTTTCCACAGAGTGCTTAGTGCGGAAACCAGACTGAAGCGGGTCTAGCAGAGAGTTGGACTCAAGGAAGTCTGTCAATCTCGCATACACAATTTTTTCAAGGATCTTGGATGCAAAAGGCAGTAGCGAGATAGGACGATAGTTGGATGGGTAGTTAGGGTCAAGATTGGGCTTCTTTAGAATTGGGGTTACAGTTGCATGTTTGAAGGGCAATGAAAATATACCAGAGGAGAGAGAGAGATTGAGAATTTTAGTGAGAGGTGGAGAAAGAGAAGAAGACAGAGTACGGATGAGATGCGATGGAATTGGATCTAGGGAGCAGGTGGTGGGGCGGGAGGACTGGAGCAGAGTGTAGCGGGTGCGAATGAACATAGAAGAGCAGAGGAAATGAAGTTAGGGGAAGTTTATAAGGAGAAGAAGAAAGATGAGATATCTCTTCTCCGATTGTAGAGATCTTGTCAGTGAAATGAGCTGCAAAGGCGCTCAAGTTAGTAGGTGGAGGAGGAACAGCAGGGCGAAGAAGAGAGTTAAATGTGTGAAATAGTCGTTTGGGTTTGCGGGAGAGCGTGGTTATGAGGGTATTGAAGTAATTAACCTTTGCAGAGGAAAGAGCCAAGCTGTATGAGCTCAGCATAAATTTATAGTGGAGAAAGTCAGATGCCCAGTGAGACTTTCTCCAACAGCGTTCAGCAGTTCTGGAGCATTTTTGGAGGAATCGAGTGAGCTTGGTGTACCAGGGTTGTTGTTGGGGAGGCCTGCGGCGTTTAAATGTTCAAGGTGCCATGATGTCTAGTTGAGAGGAGAGGGTGGAATTGTAGAAGGAGGTTGCAGAACTAGGACAGGTGAGGTTTGAGATAGGTAAAAGGAGAGTTTGGAGATTAGTGGAGAAATGCTCTAGGTCAAAACATTGGAGGTTTCTGTGAGAGTGATGTTCAGATGGTGGTGTCAATTGGGTCTTAGGTATGCCAATGTCAAAAGTCAGCAGATAGTGGTCAGATAGAGGGAAGGGAATATTGGAGAGATTAGAGGCAGTACAGAGGTTGGTGAAGGCAAGATCAAGAGTGTTTCCTGCTGTATGGGTTGCTAGATTGGACCATTGCGCAAGGCCAAAGGAGGAGGTTACAGAGAGCAGACGAGAGGCATCAGTGCAATTGGGGTTATTGATTGGGATATTGAAATCTCCAAGTATAAGGGAAGGAGTGCTAGATGAGAGGAAGTGGGGAAGCCAGGAAGAAAAGTGCTCAATGAATAGTCTAGGATAACCGGGGGGCGGTAGATGATAGCAATTCTTAAAGGAGTGGGTTTAAATAGGCGGACAGTGTGAACTTCAAAAGAAGAAAAGGATAGGGCAGGGGGAGTTATGATTGGTTGAAAGGTACATTGAGGGGAGAGAAGGATGCCTACGCCGCCTCCTTTACAGTTGACATTTGTATCTCTGTCACTTTAGTGCTCCTTTAAGTTAATTGAACTTTTGGTTCTTAGGTGAGATCAGAACACAAACCTCAAAGATCTTGTTGTAGTAGGTTTCACTCAAACAATGATTGGTGGGTTTGACAAATTGGGCCTTTTGGAGTTTACAGAGATATGTGGATGCTTAACAGGTACAGACTTTGTTTGACGTGACTCC